AAAAAATAAGAAATCTGATGTCTACAGCTTTGGCATAATCCTTTGGGAGATTTCAAGCGGAAAACCACCATTCCAAAACATAAAAAAACTACTAGCCCTCAGTATTCATCTATGTAAAGGAAATAGAGAAGAACAAATAGAAGGTACACCATCTCAATATATTGAGCTTTACGAAGTATGCTGGCATAACGAACCTGATAAGCGTCCAGAAATAAATTTGATCCACAATATTTTAAGCAAGCTTATTCTTGACGAGGGACAGATCGAGGAAGGTATAGGTCATGTAAAGGGGGCGCAAAAGAATGACTTGGAAAGTAGTCGAGGAGAAATGCTAGCTCAGATAGGTGAATTAAAAAATCAATACTTAGAAGATCTGTGTGAAGCTCATGAATTTAAAGAAGCCTTAGGTCAAGCCGCGAGGAACATGGAGCGTGCCAATTGATAAATTTAAGGATTACGAAAAAGAAGGTGACGTTGAAGAAGTAGTTATGGAGTTTTTGACCTCAAAGGATAAACTCACTTCAGATGATAAGCAAATTCTGGAGATTGAAGCCAATAAGTTTTTGATCTCAAAAGACAAGAAACCACTAATTAAGACAGTTAACAACTTTTTTTCACAGGAAGATCAGTTAACTTTGGAGGATATAGATGTCTTGAATGTAGCAGCTAATCAATTTCTGGCTTTAAAAGATCAAAACGCTTTGAAGCTTTTGGAGATGACGATGAATGAATTCTTAGAGTCTTCAAAAGATGAGAAAAAAATTTGAGAAAATATTTAAGGATATAATCCTTAATTTTTTGGGAAGCCCATTTGTCCTGGAAAATAAACTATCTTTGGAGAGTAAATTGGCTTTAGGACATCAAGTAACCAGGGAAGACATAAAAGTTTTGGAAAAAGCCTCAAAAAACGAAGAAAATTTTGAAAAAACTGCCAAAGAACTTCTGAATTTAAAAGCTAAAGAAGTTTTGGAAACAGCAGTAAATAACCTCCTAACCTTGAGACGTAAAAGAGTATTGTTGATATTAGGTAGCGGAGGCACGGGTAAATCGACGTTTAACCGTTATCTTGCTCGTCTTCTATGGGAAAAATACCAACAAGACATGACGCAACCTATTCCTTTATTTATCGCATTGGCACCATTAGAAAAATTTATAAATCAAAATCTGGATTTTATTGCAGCCTACTTACAGGAAAAGGGCAATCTATCCCCAGTTCAAATTAATGAATTACGGAATAGGAAGTTTGTATTTATTTTAGATGGTTATGATGAGATTGCTGAACGTGATCGTCATTGCTATAACAGTAATATGTTCTCTGAATGGAAAAATGCAAAAATTATCATCAGTTGTCGACCAGAATACTTAAATCAAGGCGATGAAGAAATGTTTTGGCCCAAAGAAAATGGAAAAAGAGGGTTCCAGGAACTGACACTTACACCATTTTCGCGGGCTGAAGTAGAACAATATATCAAAAATTATGTTCGTTATTTCAAAAAAAGCAATTCATTGCTATGGGACGCAGACGAATTTATACGAAGCATAAACAAGATACCGCAATTAGAAGATCTTGTGTGCAATCCCATTCTTTTAAAAATTACCTTGACTGTTTTACCAGGTATTTTCATAGACAGAGAAACAACATCTCAGATAAATCAGATAAATCGTAAAGTTTTGTATGATGAATTTCTTAAAAAATGGTTTGAGCGTGCTCAAAATCGCTTAAACAACATTCAATTGAAACCTGAAGAACGAAAAGAGTTTGATCACTTAAATAATGATTTTACTGAGCATTGTCTACAATTTGGTAAAGAATTTGCGTTCAAGATGTTTATAGACAATAATAAAGTAGTTGTTAACCGTAGTCTAGAAAAGTTAGAAGATACAAATGTGAAATGTCGCTTGATGCGTTTTAGTATGCCATTAATTCGACGTGGAAATCAATATTGGTTCTTCCATAAATCATTACGAGATTACTTAATTGCTTGTGCATTGTTAGATTCACTTAATGATGCGTCACAATTAACTCTCTTTAATAAGCAATCGATTATACCAGAACCTGCAATTCAAACCTTTTTGGCCGAAGGAGTTCAACAAATGCCAGAGTACAAACAACCGATGTTAAATTTTATTGAATGTTCTAAAAATAATGCAAATATTCAAATTGCTTCCACTAATGCCATTACAGTTGTAACACGTGCCAAAATACAGCTTTCAATAAATTTAGACAATATTCGCATTCAAGGGGCGAATTTGAGCGATGGAGTTTTTAAAAATTTACAATTTGTAAGAGCTGATTTAAATAATGTGAATTTTCAAAATGCAGATCTTCAAAATGCGAATTTCAAAAATGCAACTCTTCAAGATGCAAATCTTCAAAATGCAAACCTCAAAAATGCAAATCTCCAAGGCGCAAACATTCAAAATATAAATTTCCGAAATTCAAATCTCCAATGCTCAGAACTTGATGCTAACGGAATATTTTATGTTGGAAATTGTTATTTGTATGGAATTGGAATTGAAAGAGATGAACATAAGGCGTTCAATTATTGCCAACAATCTGCAGAGATGGGGCATGCTGGTGGAATACGTAATATTGGATATTGTTACGAACATGGAATTGGAATTGAAAAGGATAAAAATAAGGCATTCATATATTATCAAAAATCTGCGAATATGGAGAATTCTATGGCAATGAATAATGTTGGATGTTGTTACCGGGATGGAATTGGAGTTGAAATGGATCAACATAAGGCATTTATTTATTTCAAAAAATCAGCAGACATGGGGGACATTGATGGAATGATAAAAGTTGGAGATTATTACAGAAACGGAATTGGGATACAAAGAAATTTGCAGAAAGCTAACCATTGGTATCGAAAGGGAAGAAGTATAAAAAAGATAAACATAGATGCATTTCACGAAGGCTTAGATGATAATGAATTAAAGAAAATCTTAAATAATGAAAAGTATAAACTAAAGTGGATTCCTTATAACGAATTTACAGACGTATTTGTAATTGGACGAGGAGGATTTGCAACTGTATATTGTGCAATTTGGTTTGATAGAAATGAAAATGAAAGTATACGGAGAAAAGTTGCACTAAAATTAATTCATAATTCAAATAAGTATAGTCAATTTGTTAACGAGGTAATATTATTAATTAATTTACGCTTATTTTTATTTTATTATTTTAAGGCATTTAAGTGATTTAAATTATCAAATAGTTAAAAAAGTTTAGTGAAATTGGATATGACAATCCATCGTTTTTAAAATGTTACGGAGTATCAAGAGAACCAGTTTCAAAAGATTATATTATAGTTTTAGAGTATGCAGAGGAAGGATCTTTACTTAAAAACCTTTCTTGGGTTGTAAAAATTGGCTGGAAAAAAAAGTTAAACCTGCTGCATTGTGTGGCTTCGGATCTTGAATCCATTCATTCCCAGGAATTAATCCATAGAGATTTGCACTCTGGAAATATCTTGCAAGATCGTTTCCATAATGCATACGTGGCAGATCTGGGTCTTTCTGCATCATCCGATATCAAACAGAATGATAAATTTTATGGTCTCATTCCATATGTAGCTCCTGAGGTCTTGAGGGGTCAACAATTCACCCAAGCGGCTGATGTATATTCTTTCGGTGTGATTATGTCCGAGATATCTACGGGAAGAATAGCATTTGGTGGCGTTTCTTTCGATATTAACCTCTGTTTAAAAATTTGTAATGAAAATGAACGACCAGGATTTGCTGATGGAACACCTGATTGTTACGTTAAATTGGCCAAGAGATACATGAATTCTGATCCAAATGAACGACCCACGGCGACTGTAATTGTTTACAAAATTGGACATTGGCTTGATGAGATGAGTCAAAAGGATGATAACGAGATCAAAGAACAATACTTAGAAGCCGATAAAATTAAATTTAACATTGAATCACCTAAACATCCAAATGACATTGCATCAGCATTGACCTCGGCATCAACAGAAAACTTATCATCGCAAGAACGAAGTTGTTAAAGAAACAATGGAAATGAATATCATTTTATTTAAAGATTCTTAATTTGTACGAAACATAAATATGGTTGTAATAATGTAATAATAAATCTATTGGGGATCCCTAATTTATCCCCACAGTTCTGATTGGACATTTGTAAATGCCGTCTCAAATAGACTACGACACTCTTCGTCTACCAATCAAATTATAAGATCAGGTGTAACATAAAATTTTCAAAAAAAAAACGAGGCTTTTCAAAAATCGCCAATAACTTAAAATTTTGGTTACATAACCACCTTTTGCGTTCTAACAAAAGAAATTCCTTGCAAAATTTTTAGTACAGTATAGAATCTATTAGACCTTTATACTGTTTCAATGATACTTTCATTATTTGATCGAAAATCAGGATTTTTCTTCGTCCAATAGGAGCTATGGGGAGAAATTAGTAAACCCCAAAAGACGCTGTTGTCTATTACTGTGTTTATTTTCAACAAAAAAAAATTTAAATTGTTTATCTTCATCTTATGATCTTGAATTTATTTCTTTTTTAATGTGCTTATGATGTAATCATGTTTATTCAAATTTGAGATTAATCATTCTTACAAAAAACTACTAAACCTGTTAAAAAACCAGTAAGTTATATAGTACAGTCTGACCTCGTTATAGTACTCTTGATATAGTCACAACCTTGTTATAATCACACTATTTTTTTGACCGAGCTAATATAAAACATAAATTTTGACCTTCATGTAGTCACAACTTTTTATAATCACCAAAATTTCGTTTCCCAACCTGGTGATTATATCAAGGTCAGACTGTATATTATTTTTTGTAAATGAATATACAGTATACTAACGAATGAATTTAGAAGCAAAGACAAACATTCTAATTAAATTTCTGTTATCAAAATCTAAAAACTCTAATTGCAAGTGAATCCATTAATATTGAAAAACAAGAAATACTTTTAAGAATTAAGCATGAAAAGCTTGTGAATCAAAAGAATAAAATAATGAGTTAAAAAAAGAAAGTATGTTGTGGTAGAAACTTTAAAAACTTTTATATAATTGAACTTTTATTACTATTTTCGAAATGGTTGAAATCGCTCCCAAAAAAATATTTTTTGAGTATATGCATATACTCCGTATACTCGTATACCGGATTACTTAGGTACTTACATACGTACATATACTCTGCATCATACGTAATTGTTAATTGTATGCAAATATTGTTGATCATATCGATATAAATAATTGTTGATCATACATAATTGTTAATCGAACGTACACAATTGTCAATAGCATGCAATTGTTGATTGTAAATAGTATACTATCAAAAAAGCGATCTAAACAATTGCTCAATTTATGAAACAGAGTTTTTTAAATCGATTACGATATCCACTAATTTTTGCCGTTTTTAATTTTATAAAACAAGCTAGATCCGTTAAATTAAGTATGCAACGGATAGATGAATCTTTTCTTCCAGCTTAGTGATCTTAATAAGTACTAAGAGTCAACTAGGACAGCTTTCCAAAGTGTGGGTTATATGATAAGTTCCACAGACGCTATATACAAAGCAAGCTTTTTATAAAAATTTTATTCAATTCCGTAATAATAAACTATTACATAGTTAATAGTAATATTGTATGCTGTAGCCATGGAATCAGCAATTTAGGGCCGCCCCAGTTAATTTATTATCTGGTGCAATAAGACTTTTGAGGAATTTACAAATAAGGGCCCGAAAAGTGAAAATAATTACAAATACTGGCCCAAATAAAAATAATTACATTTAAGGGCCTAATTTTTTTTAAAAAATATTAGGCGAGACCAACTTGATTCGTGGTTTATATTACATCTCTTTTTCAAAAGAGGGGGGGAAGGGGAGAAAAATAGAATGTAAATATAGTAAATTTTGTTTTTTTTTCAATCAGAAATTATCGGCCTGACCTTGCTTGTCTTTTATGTCCATTCATTTTCTCTTCAGAATTCTGACCTTGCTCGCCTTTTATGTTCATTCATTTTCTCTTTGGAATGTTTCAGATCCTTACAATTTCTAATTTTAATTCCTCCCAGCATTAGCCCTCTGTCAAAAATCATATATGTATATCCCAAAAATTTTTTTTTACCAAGAGAGAGGGGAGGTCAAAAGAGGGGGGTAATGTAAACCACCAAATCAAATTGATCTGGCCTTACATGTAAGAGCCCAAAATAACTGCAACGTTATTCAAGCATATGCTTGATCGTTATTAGCAAAAAAGATATAAGTATTGACAAATGTAGTCATTAAGCATAAAGTATGTAATGTTTGATTGTAAATTAATTTAATAAATTTCATTTTCTTTGTATAAAATTGCTTATTGTTATAACAAAACACTGATGTCAAGTAAAGCACTACGATATGGAAGATGTTTGTTCAGCTCTTGAGAGTTACTCTGTTAAAACTTCTTCGCTTTATAAAGAATTATGCTATTTGAATGCTATTTTTATACAATATTTAAGCAAAAATGATCATAAGCGGCGCTTCATTCATTCTTTTATCTAATAATCTATAATTGCGATTTTGCATGGTTTTGTGGCACAGTAATCCTGTGATCACGTTTTTTCAGATTTAGACCATTATATGTAATATTTCTTAAAAATTAGGCACTTATATATTATTAAATATTTTGTTTAAATGTTTTGTCCAATAATTAATTGAGTGTTGGACAGTATAAACTTTCAATGTCTAAGCTCATTTGACCTATTAGACCGATATCACTATCTATATATATATAACAATGTCATATCTTTTTAGATATACTAATATATATATATATCCGTTATTGTCGTTAATCTGTTATTGCCAATGTTATGGCATTTTTATATTTGTATGATACTTCTTGTTCATGTTTGTAATTGTATGTATATACATACATGTATATATACAAACGTATTCTCAGTATTTAGACAATCAGAGCTAAAGATATTTAAACCGTTGTAATAGCCCTATGTGTGTAATTAAAAAATGTCATCCCTTTACAAAATCGGATCATGCTTCTCATGTCAAAAATGCCTTCTTTGTTTTACGGATCGAGCTAAAGAGCTATGTGAATGCGATACCACACAAAAGCCCTCCCGTGTTAAAAATGGTCAAATTTATAGTGTGTTTATGATTCTAATAAAACTCCTTTAAGTCAAAAATTATTTCTTCAAAACTCTAATCGTGTTTTCGCTCATGGCTGTGATTTTAATAATAATTTTAAACTTAGTTTTTGTAACACATGTCATTCCTGATTTGAACGTGCTAAAAGAAGCACAAAAAAACCAAACTTCTCTTCAACCATTACGGATTACATTAGTATTGATGAAGACTCTGACGATTCAGCAGATTTTTCTGATGAAAGTTTCAATTTTTCAATGGATTCTGTTCTATTAAGTAAAACTTCTGATCTTTGTTTGGGTCTCAAAGTGAAGGTCATAATTAAAAGTGAAAATTCTACACCAATACCCGCAAAATGGTTTATGTTCGATTCAGATGATTTTAATATATTTCATTCTGATCTTATTCAGCATGTTTGCAACTGTATTAATGATAATGTTAAAAAAGGTGAAATTGAAATTTCTTATAAAGTAAATGGGCACGGTCAAGCAATGCCATTGGAAGATAGTGGTGATTACGTTGCATTCATTATAGAGTGCCGGAATTTGGATTCGAAAAAACACATGGTGTTGAATGTTTCATTAAAATCGGCTAATAAACGAAAGGTTAAGGTATATATTATAATTATGTATTAATATAATAAATTATACAGATTACATATCTTTTTTTTTAATGTTTATAGAAATCAATTGATGAAAATGATTCTGACGAAGAAATAGCAAGAGTGAAATCCAAAAAATTCAAACATAATCGCGTGCCAAAAGAATCAGTCTTATGTCCAATGAGATTAAATTAGCTAAAATCATTTCACAACTCAGGTTCAGATATCAATGTGGTATCTATACTACACCTTGCTACATTGATGGAGGTAAACATCTTTAATTAACACCTGTGCGGTTACATTTATAGGCAAGAGATGTGGTTAGTATTACTGTATTATCATAATAAATTAATTTGAAATATTTTTATATACTGTATGTTAACAAAAATATTTTTTAATTACAGAAAACTGAACTCACAACAGTAGAATTACCACCCATGTACCCTATTTTCGGTATGCGCTATGCTACCCAAGCTCAATCGCACTCACAACAGATATATTCAACATCAACAGTTTCAATACAACCTCCACAACAAACATATTCAACATCAACGGTTTCAACACTACCTCCTCCAACTCTTCAGTAATTTTTCCAAAATTTGAATGATATCTACGGTGATGGGGATGATGAATATTTAAAGTTAGAGGCGGTATTTGCACAGGAGAAAATAACCATAAATGCGATTAAACATTTAAGTAATGCAAATCTAGTGAATCTAGAGGTAACAAGAATTGGGTTAAGAATAAATATTAAACAAGAGGCAAATAAATATTAGAATACATACATATTATTATACTATATTTTAAGTAAAATACAGATGACTCTTGTTTATATCAACCCATTTGGATTGGCTTTAAATTCATGAAATTTTGTTTTATAGTTAAGGTTGATATTAACGAGTCACCTGTAATATTTTTTAGCATCACTATATTTTTTTATCTTAATAAATGGAGTCTTGAAGGTTTATTTGTCTAAAATTTTGCTGTTAATTTTGGGTCGTATAAAACCTTATTTTAAACTGATCTAACCATGGCTTACATATCGAGTAATAACCTTAATTTATATTCTAGTTAATTCGAGTTTTTGTATGAATATATAAATCAATATGCATTATAGATGTCATACAAGCAGTTCGGGTATGCCCAAAATTATAAGATAATTAATACGTATATATCACATCATTTGGATATTAATCTACTTTATCTGTTAAACTCTGAATTGCTATCTATCTTGATTTGGCTCGTTGGAGCTGTCAGCTAAGTAAATCAAAACTATATATAGTATTA